TTTTTTTAAACGGAGTCTCGCTCTGTCACCTAGGCAGGAGTGCAGTGGTGCGATCTCTGCTCACTGCAACATCTGTCTCCTGGGTTCAAGCGATTCTCATGTCTCAGCCTCCTGAGCAGCTGGGATTATAGGCACCCACCACCACACCCATCTAATTTTTGCATTTTTTTTTTTTTTTAGTAGACACGGGGGTTCACCATATTGACCAGGCTGGTCTCAAACTCCTGACCTCAAGTGATCCACCCACCCCGGCCTCCCAAAGTGCTGGGATTACAGATGTGAGCCACTGTGCCCAGCCTCATTGTGGCCCTTGGGAAGTCACTTTTCTCAGCCCTGTCCTCCAGGGGACGAGGCTAAGGCTCAGAGAGGTGAAGCCACTAGCAGGGCATCACCCAGGCAGGGAAGGAAGGAGAGCTTTCCACCGATAACATTGCCGGAGAGGGAGAAACTGAGGCAGCATATGCAGAGTGGGGTGGAACCAGAGGCCCGGGGAAAGACAGCCGGCCTCCTGAGTGGTCGCCAGCAGCTCTCTGCCCTCTCTGGACTTCGGTTTCCCCCTATGATCAATGAGGCATAGAGGAGATCCTCTTGGGGCTTTCCCTGTAGAGAGAGGGAGACCAGCCAGGAAGGCGGCGCAGGGATCAGACCCACCTGCCAGGCAGCCAGGCAGCGGCTGCAAAGCAGGTGCCCGCACGGCTCGATCTTCACATCCTTGTTGCTCTCAGCACAGATCTTGCAGAGCTCAAATGTGGAGTCCATGGCCCAGTAGAGCTGCAGCTGCTCCTGGCAGGTGAGAGGATAGAGAAGACAGTGAGGGGCATGCGTCAGCCATGAGGACGCCCCTTGGGCCACAGGAAGAAAATCCCAAACCTCAGCTGGTTGTGGTGGCTAACGCCTGTAATCCCAGCACTTTGGAGGCCGAGGCGGGGGGATCACCTGAGGTCAGGAGTTCGAGACCAATCTCGTCAACTATGTTGAAACCCTGTCTCTACTAAAAATACAAAAATTAGCCGGGGCATGGTGGCGCATGCCTGTAATCCCAGCTACTCGGGAGGCTGAGGCAGGAGAATCGCTTGAACTTGGGAGATGGAAGTTGCAGTGAGCTGAGATTGCGCCATTGCACTCCAGCCTGGGCAACAAGAGCAAAACTCTCTCAAAAAAAGAAAGAAAGAAAGAAATAAAGAAAATCCCAAACCTCTGTCTTGGCGCTGTGGCTCATGCCTGTAATCTCAGCATTTCTGGCGGCCAAGCCCAGGAGTTCTGGACCAGCCTGGGAAGCATAGCATGACCCTGTTTCTATGTAAAAAAATATAAACCAAACTTCTGTGCCAGACCTGAACCCTCTCCTAAGTCCAAGGTTGGCATGTCCAACGGCCTCCTACATGTCTTCACTCATTTTTTTTGTGTGTTTTTAAAACTTATTTATTTATTTTTATTTTTCATTTTTTTTTTTTGAGATGGAGTCTTGCTCTGTTGCCCAGGCTGGAGTGCAGTGGCGTGATCTTGGCTCACTGAAACCTTTGCCTCCAGGTTCAAGCGATTCTTGTGCCTCAGCCTCCTGAGTAGCTGGGACTACAGGCATGAGCCACCATACGTGGCTAATTTTTGTATTTTTAGTAGAGATGGGGTTTCACCATGTTGGCTAGGCTAGTCTCGAACCCCTGACCTCAAGTGATCTGCTTGCCTTGGCCTCCCAAAGTGTTGGAATTACAGGTGGGAGCCACCTTGCCCAGCCATATCTTCACTCCTTGTCATGAGATTTCTTCTCCCCAGTTGTCTACACCCAGTGGTGCCAGATTTAGCAAATAAAAGTACTGGATGCTGTTAAATTTGAATTTCATTCTTTTTTTTCTTTTCTTTTTTTTTGGCGAGACGGGGCACCACTCTGTTACCCAGGTTGAAGTGCAGGGTCGCGATATTGGACTACTGCAACCTCCAACTCCCAGGCTCAAGTGATCCTCCCACCTCAGCCTCCAAAGTAGGTGGGCTAATTTTTTGCATTTTTTGTAGAGATGGGGTTTCATCATGTTGCCCAGGCTCATCTTGAACTCCTGAGCTCAAGTGATCCACCAGCCTCAGCCTCCCAAAATACTGGGATTACAGGCATGAACCACCGCACCTAACCTAAATTTGAATTTCTTTTTTTTTTCTTGAGACCAAGCCTCACTCTGTTGCCCAGACTGGAGTGCAGTGGTGTGATCTCGGCTCACTGCAACCTCCGCCTCCCGGGTTCAAGTGATTCTTGTGCTTCAGCCTCCCAACTCAAGTGCCTCAGCTGGGACTACAGGTGTGAGCCACCACACCCAGCTAATTTTTGTATTTTTGGTAGAGATGGGTTTCACTATGTTGGCCAGGCTGGTCTTGAACTCCTGACCTCAGGTGATCTGCCCGCCTCGGCCTACCAAAGTGCTGGCATTACGGGCGCGGTGGCACCTGGCCTCTAAATTTGAATTTCATGTAAACAGTGAATACAGTTTGAAGTATAAAGATGTCCCAAATATTGCAAGGGATATATTTATACTAAAAAAATGTAGGACCAGGTACAGTGGCTCATGCCTATAATCCCAGCACTTTGGGAGGTGGAGGTGGGAGGATCGTTGGAGCCCAGGAGTTCAAAACCAGCTTGGGCAACATGGCGAAACCCCATCTCTACAGAGAAGTAAAAAAATTAGCTGGGTGCAGTGGCTCACACCTGTACTCCCGGTTGCTCGGAAGGCTGAGGTGGGAGGATCGCTTGAGCCAGGAGGTCGAAGCTGCAGTGAGCCATGATCGCACCACTGCACTCCAGCCTGGGTGACAGAAGAGATCCTGTCTCTAAAAATAAAAATAAATAAAATATAAATTATGTATTTATTATTGTTGTTTTTCTCTCACTCGGGGGTGGCTGTGAAGATTAGGAGCTGGCACAGGGCCATCGCTGGCAAATGCCCAAATGCATTAGCTGTCCTGATGATCTCAGCAGCATTAGTTCCTTATTTAATCCCTGTGATCACCCCTGGGAAAGAGCCAGGAGGAGCCGTATTCTCTGGAAGAATAACTGAGCCTCAGAGAGGTCAAGTGATTTACCCAAGGTCACGCAGCCACCAAGCCAACACTCCAACCCCAGGCCTCTGAGCCAAGGCAACGTGGGGGTGGCAGGGTCAGGGAACGAGACTGAAGGTGCAGGCCCGGGTCTCACCTCTGATACGTGGATGCGCTGCTGGGCTTCTGCCTGGTCGAGCTCAGTCAGGTCTGGGTTGTGGTTCTTTCCATCTGGGTAGAGGTAGCTGGGGGAAGGGAAGAGAGGGTGACGGGGGGGCCATCTAGTATCTCCCACCCCCAGATGAATAAGGACCTTTATCCCCTACAGGGCCCATATCTCCCTGAGATGAGGATCTGTCCCCAATCCATTGCTGGCCTGGGGTTATTTTCCCTCTGCCCTCCTCTAATTGGGACTGCATCTTCTCAGATACCCCAGGGCAGGGCTATGTCCCCTCAGACTCCCAAGGTAGGACACACGAAACCTCAGTGACTCAAGCTCCAGAAACAAGGATGAGATAGAATAAGAACCAGAAAACGGGATGAAAATTTCTGGCTTAGGGCGGGCACAGTGGCTCACGCCTGTAATCCCAACACTTTGGGAGGCCGAGGTGGGTGGATCACCTGAGGTCGGGAGTTCAAGACCAGCTTGGCCAACGTGATGGAACCCCGTCTCTACTGAAAATATAAAAATTAGCCGGGCGTGGTGGTGCATGCCTGTAATCCTAGCTACTCAGAGGCTGAGTCAGGAGAATTGCTAGAACCCAGGAGGCACACGTTGCAGTGCGCCGAGATCGTGCCATTGCACTGCAACTTGGGCGATAGAGTGAGACTCTGTTTCAAAAAAAAAAAAAAAAAAAAAAA